TGGAAAGATCTGTTAAAAATTACAGTCTTCAGTTGGTTAAGAGCTCACTCAAGAGTGCAAGCTCTGAGCAACAGGGTTGCTGGTTCGATTCTCAGCCCGAGCTGAGCTGCCGCTGAGCTACCAACAGGTGGCAGGATGGCTCAGCTAAAATAAATTTTAAAAAAATAAAATAAATAAAAATAAAATAAAATAAAAATTACGGTCTTCATCCAGAACTGGGATTCTTAACTATTTTTTGTGCCATGGACCCTTTTGGCAATTGGATGAAACCTATGAACTCCTTCCAAGAATAATGTTTTTAGTCAAATAAAATAAAATACCTAAGATTAAAAGGGAAACCAAATACACTGAAATGCAGATGTTAAAATATTAAAACCAACTTTGTAATATGGGAATATAAGTGCTTCTTTATTAATGAATGGTATCAAATGAGATCTAGACATGGATCTGATGAAAGCAATTTCAAAATTGTACTTAGCATAAGCGATATTTTAAGATAACTATAACAACTGTAATGTGACAAAAATGTGATGTAGGTTATGGTTTGTTGCCCTTATACCTAATTGAAGGAAATTCTGTTTCAGCTAGAAGTCTGTGGAAATAAAATTCTAATTATTGCCATCCAAATTCGTGAACTTCCAGAATTCTGTCCATATTCTCCAGGTAAGAACTGCTAATCCAGAGCATCACGAGCATTTGAAGATGTTAAGCAGGGAGTGAAATGATCCAATTTACTTTAAATAGAGCCCTGTCTACATAGGAAGCCACATGGAACTGTTTGTTGTATTTACTATAAGAATGTTGCAGAGAATATCCATCATGTTTGTATACTGTCCTTTTTGTGAGGACTCTGGTTGAAATGTTCTGTCTTATAGTGATGGTTACACAATTGTGTGGGTTTGTCAGAAAAGGGTGAATTTTACTGTCTGTAAATTATACTTCAATAAGGCAGACTCTAAAAAATGCAATCAGTCAAGTCAACCAATGCTCATGGTCAGTTTGAAAAAATTAAAAAGATTATGTTAAAAATTGGAGTGTGTGCGCAGAGATGCCAGTTTACTAAGTCTGGACTACAATTATCTGCTGTGAGAGCCCAGCACAAGGATGGTTTGGCCCCTAATTCTGTTCCTTCTTCCGCCAGGAGTACATGGGCCTCTTGAACCATGTGACATAAAGAAAAATTCCTTGGGCTTGCAGAGTTACACCCACTCTAATGGTTCTTCGGGGGCTTTCCTTGCTACCTTAAGTCTTTGAGGAAATCTACTGGCAGCTGTCTTTCTTCAGCATTTATTCCAGGTGAACTCACTGGTATTCAGTACAGATGGTCAAAGTGATTCTTTTTTTTTTTAAAGATTTTTATTGGGGAATTGGGGGAAGGAGA